ATAATTTTTGACGAAAGTCACAGTAAAACATTTCATGGTGGTTTGAAAGATTTAAAAAACACACCGAGAGTTACCACGCATGTTTGTCATGAAATAGGGCAAGAGCATCGTAGATGCCTGGTAGAATTGTATAAATTGTATTTTGAAAAAGTGAAAATGCATGCTTCATCAGTTGAAGCGTTTTACTTTTACCCAAATCGTGATACAAGCAAATTTGAATTTGAAAAACGGGCACTTGGTATTAATAAGCTGAATAGTATTTTACCAGACGAGCTTTGTGTCAAGGGTGGTTTGGAGAGAAAGACAGCACACWCATTAAGGATCACTACTGCTAGTCGACTTTTTCAAAATGGGATCGAAGAAAAACTAATTAGGGAGAGAACCGGCCACAAGTCAGATTCACTTTTCAAGTATGAAAGAGCYTCTGAAAAGCAGCTACAAAAAGCTAGCTCTGTTTTAGGGCCAAGTGCCTCTKCAGAGACTGAAGCAAGTGATGCTAATTTTCCGCTATTTGATATTAATTTAGACCAGTACCTGTKTCCTGATGAAGGAATTTCTGATGATGGAATAGCACATATTTCGGATCAATTTTTTKGTGATGACGAAGGGGTTTCGGATAATGAATTAGCTGGGATTAATATTGATAATTATACATGCACAGCTAAGCCTAAAGCTAGTAACAATTCCGATCTTGTGTTTAATAACTCAAAGAATTAGATAATTACTTAATAAAAGATTTTTGCGTTTGTTGTAATTGTGTTTGATTGCGCTCGAGTTTAGACATTTTGAATGTTTTCAGGGAAGTGCGGGGCTGATTATTATTCAACGCTTTCCTGATACATATCTAATTAATAAAACATTAGTTCTGTAATCACTGATACAGAACGTTCTGTATCATTGATACAGAACTAATGTTTTATTAATTAGGTCTGTATCAGGAAAACGTTGAATAATAATCAGCCCCGCACTCCCCTGAAAATATTCAAAGCCGCCCCCAACTTTAAGATTGCTGTACCTTTTACCCAATATAAAGGTATAATCACGTGATTAGATTCCCATTATATCATTGGCTAATGACATCATGAATTATTAATGAGTTTGATAATGATAACGAATGATTTTAATCCGACGTGTTGTGTCTTCTTCGCTCTTAGACTTTTTCCAACTTTTTAGCATTTACGGGTAGATTGTTTTTGATTTCAATGTTTCGATGGGTTAGCATGAACAAAATGGTGTATGTTTCACTAATAAACATGAATCTCCCACCCCCTCCCCAAGTAAGTTTTATACAGTCACGAAGTATTTCCGAGCACTTCATGGTCAAATGAGTCCAGTTCGAGATTCAGCTCAAATCCGCATATTAATGAATCTCTTTTGTTTCGCTGTGTTTTTGAATCTCGCGCGGTTTATTCAAGTCTATTGTTTTAGTTAATCGATCGTGACCATATATGG